TGTACATGTAAAGTGTATATTCAATTTGTATGGTTAACAGTGGTTACTAAGATTGAAAGAAAGAACATTATAAATTACCTTTGCACTCTTCGTAGATTAAACCACCAGAAGATGTTTTTTCATCACTTTCTGCAAGTTTTGAGTTTACAATATTACTCAGAAACTTCTTGCACTTAGCACATTAAAATTAAACTAAAATATAATTAAATATTCATACATATTGACTTGTTTTCCCTATTTTACCTCTGCACCATTCAATATTTCTTTGCACGAATATCTTTGACATAACCATACATCCACAAAGAAGGATCAGAAGAGCTGAAAATATTGTAAATAATTTATGAAAGCTTTTGGTAAATTTCTGTCATGTGGGTAACATCAGTTACTACATGTCATCCCACAGCTAGGTTGTTTTGCAAATGTGCATACCGTGATCATATATTTGACTTTTAAAAGAAAAAAATCAATTCTAAGCTTTCATTAAAGGAATATCTAATGATATAAAATATTTTTGGTTGTAAGTAATGAATGCTTCTTGCATAAAACCTCATAACTTTTGCAATCATTGTCGTTTTCATTTTAAAGCTTATCTATTCATTGCAGTTAATTTTAATTTTTCAGCAGTATGGGAAAATTCATTGTAATCACACGGGGGTTGATCCAAAAGAATTTTTATTGGTGTCATACAATCTTTGAAATCATCAATAAAATATTATATCAGGAACGTTTATCTTTTTGACTGTTGTCTTAGAGGTTCATTCAGCTATATTTGAACCATTCTTTTAATTATAAAAAGCATTCTGAGAGTATTATTGCATTAGCAATACTAGTCCCCTACCGACAAGTGTAATCTGGTTCCCGTTAAATATTGAAAATGCCGTTAAATCCGTAAAAAATGAATGAAGCGGAACGAAATGCAAACTTGAACTGTAACTAACCAAGGTTAAGTCACATACCAAAAATCAGCTCAATATCTGCAAGCGTTTAGAAAAAAAGTGCGGAAAACCCTGAAAAATTAAAAAGATCATAATTCCGTCAAACTTCAATGAAGCCGAACGAAATGCAAACTTGATCTTTAACTCATCAAGATACACTAACATACTAAAAATCAGCTAAAATACCTGCAAGCGTTTATGGAAAAAATGCTGAAAACCAAGTGAGACAAACAGACAGAGGGACAGCTAGACGGACAGACAGACAGATGGTCAGACAGACACAGAGGAAACCTATGGTCCCCTCCAATTTCACCGGTAGGGGACTAAAATAATTATATACATGTAGCTCGGTACGTTTATCACTGCAAGTTAAGAATGTTAGTGTTTTCCCGATTGTTATATACTTTAGTTGCTAAAGTATATAACAAACAGGATGACTTTATCTTTTCAATCTCAACTTTCCCTACATGTATTTATGAAGAAATATTCCACAATCACCTATATATGTTTTTTTTTTTTTTTTACAACTGATTTGATATTCAAGAGCTGTTATGAGTATTGTCAATTTTTAAACCTGTAGTTTTTTACTATGTAAGGGGAAAAACTCTCCATGTCAAAAGAATTGGATAGTATTGAATACACAGAACTAGGTAAGACATGCAAATTTTTATGTGATAATAGGTCATGCACAAAAAGATAATACAATTTTTCTGAATTTGTATATTAAAGGTCACTAGCGTACTGTCAATTTCTCTCCCACAATCTTGAATAGCACTTACAGCCATATTTTGTAAGAATTAAAACGAAATTTCTGTTTTTACGTCAATTTAATTTTCAGACTTTTCAAAGGAAATAGCAGTACTATTTTTTGTCCGGGGGGGGGGGGGGGGCATTTATCCAAAACAAGACAGTTTCCTCCATTTCAAAAAAAAGACACATAAAGGCCTATATAATAACGATTTCCCCATAATACTACAAACCTCAAATGAATTAAATCTAGCATCATTCTTTTCCCTACATTTTGTCTCGATTATTTAAACTGAAATATTTTAGTACAATTGTTCATATCATTGAACAATTTAGCAGCTTTTATTGTTCCATTATTCACTGGTTGTTTTCAAAACTACCGCACTGCAATGCATCTGTTACCGTCTTTTCTGGGAATGAGTTTATCTTTGTCAGTCGTAATATCTAATCATCTTACTTTTAAAATTCTTTCGAAATCTTTCAAAATAACGATTTATTTAGCCAAAGTCATCTTATATGTAAAATAAGTACTATTCCTTCTGTCAGATGTAAGTTTGTTTTTGATTGGAATTTCGCTTTTGTAACCGTAAAATTTCATCTGCATAAGATATGTGACAAACCTGCTCAACATCTATAAGGTTTTGTTGAAGATTAAAAAAAGCATCTTTTTCTCAAAGAAGAATTTCTAAGCAGATTGTATTATTCATGTAGGAATGATTTGAGATAGTTATTTCACAAATTTTTCTACCTCTGTGAGCGCACTTGATACTTTCCTTTATATTATAAAATTAAAATTTGTTGCATGAAATATTTTTGTCTATTCTAAAATAGATCCTTTTGGTCATGGACTATATATGTAACTCATATCTGAAGTAAGAAAACGTCCAAAACTGTTCATTCTATGAAAGAAAGAACTGATAATGAACTTAAATCATAAAACTTTACATGGTTGATAGGTTTGCAGTAAAATGACTGTCAACTGAATTCGATGTTTAACTTATTTAACGTATTTGCTTCAAACATACTGATATTTAAAAAGTACCAACACTGTCTGATTGTCAATACAAATTTTAAAAATTAGATAATTTATCTAAAGATGAAAGAATCAAAGGAAAAAATCAAATAAATGAAATTGATACCAGATTCCATTTTAAGGATTTTGTTACTTGAGGTCCTTTTAATAATATCTAGAAATATTTTCTTTTTTTTAAATACACATTTCATAAATATTTTTTTTTTATCAGATTTACATGTATCAAATATACACAAATAAATAAAAAAAAACATACCTGATGTCACCGACATACTTTGCTTCATAACTTCCTTTTCTTTTTAAAAATTCTCTCTGCACAACGCTTTAACGTTTCTCAAAGTTTTAAGCGAAATAAGATAACGTTTTCTTTCTTTTTGTACTTTCTTGCCCTGTAGACATCTTAAGGAAGATAACAGAAAAACTTTCTATTTGTTTATTTAATCAACCTTTAAACATTTTTTAATTATGCATACGTATATGAATAGGCATTTAAATGCTTTCAAATGAAATTGTTTTGGTACATTTGATGAGAATATAATGAATTGCTTCATATGCATACTTTTTTCTCAGTTAGAGTACAATCATCAATCATTTAGTTTATTACATAAAAGTTAATCAAATAAGTAAAATACAAATTCAGATCTGTATTCCCTCACTCTCGGGGTTGTTTTTGGTGGGGAACAATTATTCAAGACACAAAGTAACTGTCTTATAAGTCCAGTATTCTCTATCCATCAAAGAATGTTAATTTTTTGGTTAACCAATACCAAATGGCCGAGAATAAATGTTTTGAAAACTAACTCAAACTTCAAAGTCAAGGTCTTGAGGTCAAAAGTCATATTACATACTGAAGGGTTTGTCACATGTAAGGCTCATGTAAAAATATAAAAGCCCTGTGTCTTCAGATGTAAAAGTCAAGGTTTTTTTTTTTTTTTTTTTTTTTTTTTTTTTTTTTTTTTTTTTTTGTTGTTGTTGTTGTTGTTGTTTGTTTGATGTTCTTTATAATCAAACTTCAGAGTCAAAATCAAGAAGTCAAAAATCACATTGCATGACAAAGGTCTTGTCACAGGTAATAACGCAAATGTGGAATGTGAAAGTCCTACCATTGTATATTTAAACAGTAATTACCAATGGTATTACCAGTGTCTTTTTTCTTTGGAAAAGTTGGATAAACTTTAATGTCAAGGTCAGGAGGTCAAAAGTTATTGTACAGTCGCAAAGATCTTGTCACAGTAATGCACATGTGAAATATAATAGCACATTCAAAATACATGACTTATGTTAAAGTGTTTGTGACAGACAGATTGAGAGACGAATGGGATTTAATATCCCTATTCTTTCGCCAAAGCTGGGTTAAACATCAAACCTGTTAAAATCACTTTAAAATATTTAATTAAATTTGAACCTCCCTTCCTTTCTTAACATACTTAAAGGCCCACTTCAAGGTTAAGGACTATTCTGTCTTCCATTTATGGTTGACCATAGAAAAAAGTTCATAACCTAGCACTTGTAATGAGTCACCTGCTTCAAACATACATGTACATGTATGTGTAAACACAACGCCCACAGAAAGTCAGTAATGTCGTTTATGTTTCGATTTTTATATACATGTACATTTAGTTTATCAATATTTTCAAATGATAAAGTGATGCAGGACACGAACATGTTCAATATGATGTATTTTCCCTTCGCCAAATTTAAATATTTTTTGCACTAGCATAACCATTGTCTTTTAAAAGCATAGCTAGATTTGTCTTCATTTGTGCTCTTTGACATCAGAAGCAAAAACTATCTAATATTTGAAATATAATCAAAATTAAAATTCTTTCATCTGATTTTTTTTTCTTATTTACATGAACAAAGTTATGTACTCATCAGTGTCAGAATTTATTTAATTTATCTACCATGCATTTGTTTCTGTCAGTAGTTGTGTTCCTTTTGTGAAAAACTTTTAGAAACTTTTTTTTTGAAAGTTTTACACAACCATTTTCACATTTCTGATTCTGGAGTTTTATTTACCTTTCCTTATGTGGACAGTTAAAAATCTTTGGAAATTTTATGCCTGGTTTTTTTTTTTTTTTTTTTTTTTTTTTTTTTTTTTTTTTTTTTTTTTTTCAAACTGATAGTTTTTTTTTTAATATTGTAATTTTTCATTTATTGATTTTTCAAATGCAAAAAAAATATTCCAACAAAATCTCTAACAAAATTAGCCATGATTAAGATCAACTTTTACAGGAAATTATGTTCTAAACTCTCTCTCTCTCTCTCTCTCTCTCTCTCTCTGACACACACACCGTTTCAAAATAAATACATTTATTATAGAAATAGTGACTGGTTTAGAAGCAGCTACTTCACAATTAAATGTTTTCAATATTTCTAGATATTAAAAAATAATTATACAGATTCTGAAATTCAAGCTTGGAAACTTATTATTTCCACGTAATATATGATATCCCCCTGCAAGTACAAATATTCCGCACTCATTCACTTTACTCATTTCCGTTCGCCTTTTCCAGTCTTTCCATACCATTATTTTTCCCATTGTTTTCAGACACCATAGCCATCGTACTGTGATGCTGTTGAGGGGACAGGCCCTGCATGATCATAGTCATCACTATTGGTATCAGACTGAGTTTTAAACGGAGCGTCTGCTCTAGCATGGTCGTAGTATTCATCTCTGTCAATGGTCTCTGTTGCATTCAAATGATTGTATACTCCTTCTTCTGTATTAAACTGGGTGCTTTCCTTCTGGCTTTTTGTCTGTTTAATGAGAGAAATCTACATTTATAAACTCTTGCTGCAGCATGGTACGCTAAACATCAAATCTAGATTATTTAATCTTTTGCGATTGTTTGATCGTTTGTAATTTTAGCAAAATCGTTTCTCGAAAAATTACCTGAACTACTAAATTATTATACAATAAACACCTTATCAATAGGTAAATGTTTGACTGTACATGAATGTGTCACCCATTTTAAGTATTAAAAAAAACTTGAGTGCTGATCTTGATGGGAAAAATATTGCTCCATGACAACGAAGGGATGGATGGTCCCCCAAAGGTATCAATGCTTTTTAAATGGAGCACTGGTTTGTACATGCTTTTTTAAACATCCAAAAATTTATAAATGTTCGAAAATATGACAATTCTGAAGCCACACAAACGTGAAACGTCATTAAATACCCCCTGATTTTTTAGTTTTTTACAGTGATAAAAGAACAATTGTAAAAGCATACCATTCCACTACAATCTACAATTTAACGTTACCATTTCGTTCTTTATTTCGTTGGAAGTCATTCTATTCTTGTTGCTGTGACCTTGGACTAGTTGCTCCATTACCCTCATGTCTGCTATGTTTTGTGGTGCATCTAATGCCATCCCTCTAATTTAAAATTCAATACATGATAGAATAATTTGCGAGTTGTCGACGACTACAAAAACGCTTGCGGTGCTTTCAAAACCGAGGATCCTCTCTCTCTCTCTCTCTCTCTCTCTCTCCTGATGAAGTACTTTTACCTTTTCTTCTGTTCAGCAGTTCTTCGTCGAAAAATCATAAAACAAACAACTGTTATAATCGATCCAAACAGCGCTCCTCCAAAGACAGCCCCAAGCATATATCCAAGGAGATTGTCTAGATAATTCATAAACAACACTCTTAAAATTTCATTATTTCTCTCACAGCTTAATTAAGAAAACTAACAAGCTGACGTGTTAAACCACAAGTACTTTAAACACACACAATATTTAGACCTTACCTTTGACGTTCAGTAGTTCCTTGTTAGAACTGGACACCATATCTTAAAAGATGATGATTTTTTCTCTCAAAATTAGGTATCTTTAATTACAACTTTTTTCTACGACATTTAGATATATGATGATTTGACAAAAACATCCTCACTTTTCTTTTAAAAGTAACAAGTTTCCTTGTATATCAGTTTTAAAATCCATATTAGTTTACATATGGAGAAATGGTATGCATTTTGGTAATTTACAAAGCGGCCGTATTGTATTTAATATGGCAGATTTCTATTCAATGCATTATATAAGGGAAAAAACTAGAAAAAAGAGATTAAAAAATATCGAATAATTCCTTCTTCCTGTTGTTCTATCTTTTATAGTGTCCTGGGTCAGAATTTCAGTATTTGTTTAAAAAATGACGAAAAATGGATGGTTCCCTACAAGCTCGAAAATCTTAAGCAAACCTGATTTGATATAGAAAAATGTGGTGAACAAGTTTAGAACGCTTGTCAAGTAAATTTAGATATATTTGCCATTTTTTGACAGAGTTCTCCCTCATATAACGTGAATATCGGCCGCGACTGACCTAAGCCGATAAAAAATGGGTAGCAACTGTTCCTTCGCCATGCGCTCGAAACTTTGAAGTGAAAGTTGGGGGTCCTTCGGATGAGACCTTAAAAACCGAGGCCCCGTGTCACGGCAGGCGTTGGCACGATAAAGATCCCTCACTGCTCAATGGCCCTGAGTGCCGAGTAAGGGTCAAAATCTGAAGCCCTTCACTGATACATGGTGACTTCTCCATGTGAGTGAAAAATTATCAAATGGGACGTGAAACAACATACAATCAATCAATCAATCTTTCATTTAAAAAAAACATAGATAATGAAATTATAAGGTTTTTTAGAACTACAAAAATAATGAAAATTAATTAGTAATGGTCACGTGATCACTAGTTCATGAAAAAAGTGTACAGCATTTCTCCATATGATTAATTATCACAAGAGTTTCTCGACTTTGTTTTTTTGCTGATTGTACAATAATAACAGGAATAAAACTTTGTGATTTAAAGACTATCTGACCATTTGTACACTTAAGAAAAATGTTTCTGGACATTGATAATTCAAAAATATAAAATAACTTTTTCTTAAGTGAAAAAATAAAATAAGCAAATAAATTAATTAATTAAAACGCGTTAATATTGAGTTGATCTGTTTCGCTTCTAACATAGGGTACCATCCACTGTACTAATTTATTTCATTCAAGAATCCGACACACTTGCATATTTTAAAATTACCTAGGTTTTGTTTTGCTTATAAATGATTTCCTTTGGAGAAAAATGTTTGCTAAAATTACTGCTTTTCGAAGAAAATTAAGCATTCACGTGTCACATTTTCTAGTCTATGTAATTTCAAGAAATATCAGAATTAGCTACATTTCTGATACGGCATTAAACCTTAGAATCGAAAAAACTAATCAGTTAATCAAAAATTAATTACTCAATAAGTTTGATTGTAATTCTTTATATATATATATATATCTATATCTATATATATATATATCTATATATATATATATATATATATATATATATATATATATATATATATATATATATATATATATATATATATATATATATATATATATATTAGGGATGTCAACGAATAGTCGACTATTCGACCATCAGTCGAATGGACCGACGATCGAATAATGAAACGACATTCGAATATTATCAATAAATAAATACAATAAAAATAGTGATAACGAGAGGGAATTCTGATCACAAAATTGAGAAACTGTTTTTCCTCAGAGACAGTCGATAAGACAATTTTTCTCAACAAAAATGGTTGACTTTCCATGTACATATAGAAAGTACTGACAGTAATTAAATAAATATACGTGCTTCACTATCGTAAGAATTATTTATCATTGATTGCATGTGTTGTTTTTTGTAAGAAATTATCCATCAATATACCGGGCTTTATTAGTAAAATTATTAATTGGTCTTGATCTTATACCATGTACCAATTATATTTTGTTATTTTAAGATTGTTCCAATGCAAGGAACACACCAAACCCGTGACATGATTTAACACTTCGACAATTATAAAAACGATTCGCTTAAATTTTAATGACATTTTGATAGCGGGAGCAACCAATAACTCATTAATCAGTATCTAACTGTTTAACAGTATCACAGGCACCTGCATGATGTTTGGATAGTGTGAGATTACCCCCACCCCGATTAATTTCATAATAAACTTTAAAAAATATCGGCTGGCTTTTTTTAATGCTTACTAAAATTAAAAAAAAAATGTCTATACAGACCAATTTATGAATTTGATTGACGGGGAAATCATAAATTTGGGGGAATTAGCTCTCTAAATTTATTTCAGGTAACCATGCTATCAACACGTTGGATTAATTTGATGTTGCTTTTTAAATAGATTTAAGTAAAAGGGTTTTTGAGCTATAAATACGTCATGTACCAGAGAAGCTGGAAATAAAATTTTCTTTTCAGGAAATGTTCCGAATATTCGACTATCGCTCGAATAATGGAATCGAATAATCGACTAAGGAAAATAAATATTTTGACATCCCTAATATATATATATATATATATATATATATATATATATATATATATATATATATATATATATATATATATATATATATATATATATATATATATATATATATATATATATATATATATCAATTTAAGGGAAGTTTAGTTTTGTCATTTTTCTCCATATAACTTATAACTTACCAAAACTAGAAGGAATTTCAGTTCTAAATATTTTCTCTTCTGTATCTTCTTTCCCTATTATAGTTGTAGGACCGCATTCTGGACATGAAGCACATTCTAGGAATTAATAAACAAAAATGTTCATAGTTTTGACACAAACAAAATAAATATGAAATGACTATTATGCAAATATAAAACAAATCTTAAAAAAAAGATCAGTAAGTATAAGACAGTAGCAGTATAGTTTCATTGATTTTATGTCAATAAGCCACGTTTCTCTACTTGAAACATTTGTTTAAGGCAAAAACTATTGGTCCAGTAGGTTGAAAAAATATCCTACTCTTGTCTACACTTTATCTGACAATCGATATAAACACTTAAAATTATTTTCATTATTAGCTATAGTCATATCGTTTAACTCCAAGAGACATAGTACTGAACTAGTTGTATCCAGTTTTTTTTTTTTCGAGAGCCTCTAAATAAATGAAGTCTAGGAGATAACAGAAATAAGAAAATAATTAAATTGAATTGGAATCAGATACATTTCTAAATAGAATATTTAACCTTACTTTTGATTCAGATAACATCTTGGTATGGACATGATGGTTGTTTCTTTATATTGTAATTTATATCAGGGTTCCAAAAATAAATGCTTATTATGGGATCTTTTGAAGTTAAAAGCGTTTTTTTTCCAGGAAGTTAAATTTTAGTTCATTATCTACTGTTGTAATGATAGTTTGAAAGTATAACATAATGTAATAATGCATAGTAACAGCGGGAATATTTTTCAATTAAATTCAGTGTGTAGGGGTTAAATGTCTTTTCGATATACAAATGCTTAAAAACACATTTGCGTAAATTCTTATGTTACATAAAAAGGACAATACAAAGAGATGATATGCATGATATGCAAACTTTGCAACCATCTACGTATCATTAAGTATCTTTTCTCTTTATATTCCCCAGCACATGTTTTCATCCAAGTTTTGTCATACTTTTAAAACTTTTTTGCTAAGACTAAAATTTCTCTAGCCAAGTTAAGATTTTGAACAATATGCTTGAGTCATTCTCTTCGTAGCCTTTACGTTCTGCACTGGCTCCTGAATTAAGGAAAAGTACCTTTAATGATAATGATGGCCTTGTGTTAATTTCGAATATCTTAAAACTCTGAAAATAAATATCAATCTCGACTTCAGTTTTGCCTTGTACAAACTTTTAATTATATAAGTAATTAGATGATCAAAACAGACAGACATAAATGATTCTAAAAGATTAATATCTACCTTTAGTTTAATGTTTGGGTTTTCTCTAAATCTGATAAATATATCCAATTTTTTCGAATAAATGTGAATTGATTGATTGAAAGTTGTTTAATATTCCATTCGAGAGTTTTCACTCATATAGAAACGTCACCATATAGCAGTAAAGGGCTTCAAATTTAGATCTTTACTTGGTACTCAGAGTCATTGAACAGTGAGGGCTCTTTTTCTTGCAAACGCCTGCCTTTACACGGGGCTTCGGTTATAAGGTTTCATGCGAAAGACCCTCAACTTTCATTTCAAAGTGCCTTTGGCGAAGAAACAGTTAATTGCTACCTATTTTTTATCCACTTAGGTTTGTCACGGCCTGGGTTTGAACCCCCGACCTTCCGATAACGGAGCGAGCGCTCCACCGGCTGAGCTGCAGTGACATTACGTGGTCTCATATGTATCCGTCTTTTTCACAATTTAGATTCAGTACAGGAGAAAACAGATGTAAGAAGATGAGTCAGTTATAGTTAATTCATTCTAAAATATCAGATACAAATCTAAAAAGGATCTTCAAACTTACTATATATTTAACAATTAGGTATAAACTGTGTTATTGTTTCTTTTAATTTATTCAATATCAAAAGTCGATAAATGTGGTTTGATCAACTGATTTTTATCGTTTTCAGTATTTTTTTGCGTATTATCAATATTTAATATATACATGTATTCGATTCATTTTAAGAACAGTTCAGTTTTGTTTTCTCCCAATACCTACCAAAAGTAGAAGGACTTTGAGTTCTGAAGGCTTCCTCTTCTTTATTTACATTAGTTGCAAGATTGCATTCTGGACATGGTGTACATTCTAGGAAATGGAAATACAACT